TAAACTCTAAACCCCCAAAGCCCTACACCCGAAACCCTAAGCCCTAAACCCCAAATCCTGAGCTGTTTACCCCCCCGACAGCCGATACACTGAAGCTCACAAATCCCAGGACCGACATCACTCAGGCAGTCCTTCAAGCCATACCTCAGCTGCTTAGGACTTGGGGCTTAGTGGTTTAGTGGTTTAGGGTTTAGGGTTGGGGCCTAGGGCCCAGATCACAAAGCTGTTGCATGTCTTCCTGGCTCATGATTCGAAGCTTGGACGGGTTGAAATCGCAGGCTCCACACCCTCCCATGCCCAAAACCCAAAGCTCCTGAACACTGAACCCTAAACTCCAAACCCTAGACCCTAAACCCTGAGCCCTGCACACTAAACTTTAATCACTTTAATCCCAAACCCAGTACCCGAAACCATCCAAACCCTAAACCCTCGAGGCGTTTGGCCCCAGCAAGCCACAGATGCTAAATCCTTCAAGTAGCTCTTTTGCGCCCATGTAGTACCCTGAGAACGCCCCTACAGTACCCGTATAGATCCCCTAAACCTTAAACCCTCAACCCTAGACCTTAGGCCCTAAACCTTAAACCCTAAACCCTAAACCCCCCATAAACCCTAAACCTTAAACCCTAGACCCTGCCGTAAGGCGCAGTCGGGATGCTGGGCCTTAAGGCCCTCGAGCTCCTCCCTGCATGCCTCGAGCTCCTCCTTGGAGAGCGCCTCCCAAGTTGAAGGGCTCAGTTGAGGGCTTAGCGTTTAGGGGCCGCAATAGTTAGAACGGGGTTTTGGGCTGTATTCTACCTTAAAACAGGCGTTTTGGGATATATTCTTACGTTAGAATGAAGAAGATTTAACTTTGGGGGTAAAAGGCAGCTCATGGATAGAGGTCGAAAAGTTTGGGGTACTAGAGCCTTAGGGGCAGTCTTTGGCTTCAAGAGACTGGGCCACATGAGGCTTCCAGGTTGCTTTTCAGCTTTTGGGGGCATAGAGCTTCGGGAGGTTAGAGTTTAGGGTTTAGGGTTTAGGGTTTAGGGTTGGAGGTTAGGGAGGTTAGGGTTCAAGGTTTAGGGCGGCTGAGGGGCTTTCCGCTAGGCCTCTGGGGGGCTTAGGGCTCTTGGGATTCAGAGCTCTGAAGGCTTCTAGCATCGAGGGTGCAGGGACCCAAAAGGAGGCCATGGATTTCTTTAGGGTTTAGGGTTAAGGGTTTTTGGATAAGGGTTTAGGGTTTAGGGTTAAGGGTTTTGGGATAAGGGTTTAGGGTTTAGGGTTCGTTTGGTTCGTTTCTTCCGCGGCTCCTTGGGATGCAGGCTGGCAGCGAGGGGGCCCTGGTGGTAGGTCTGTGCCATGGACGGAGGAGTGGACATGGCTGACACGACGCAGGCGAGGCTCTCGTTGTGCTGCCGGCAGGGCTGAGGGACAAGACTTGCTTGAACCGGGACAGCACGGCGGTTTAGGGTTCGAAGGCCCCTTTATCAATCTCATGAGGCTTGCTGAGGCTCAAAGGTAGAGCCCTTGATTGGGCATTGCAACCGCTTGAATAACTTTTAGGAAGGGATTCTAGTTCCACGATCATTAGGGTTGAGGGTTTAGGGCTTTAAGGCTTAAGGATTAGGGTTTAGCTGGGGCTACTCTCACTATTTCTTTCTACTCAGTTTGATACCTGCTGTCGCCGTGCTTGCCTGATGCTGGTTCTAGCTGCAGTTTCCGTGGCCTGACACAAAGAGAAGGCTTGCACGCCGCAATCTGTCTAGTAGGCCGGGTGTTAAAATCTAGGCCTCCGGGCTCAGCCTTAGAAACTACTTTGGGGCTGAAGATTAACCTCAACTCTCCATAGGAGTAAATTTCCGCGACTTGGCTCAGGAGCCGACTTGGGATGGTGGGATCCGATTAAATGATACCCTACAATTGGGCCACTCGCTCTGCCTAGGCGTTGTACAATTGTAGAAGCAGTTTCCTGGCAGTGCAAGCCCGATGCGAAGGCAGATCTGCTTTTTCAGCACTGCACAAGCACAGGAGTTTAGAAGTCTGGTCGACGTTGAGGTGCATTTCTCCGCCTTGCACCGACGCTTTGCGATGTTTGACCAGCATTCTCTGTGCTTCGGAGATGTCCCATTTCTTTGGACACCATTTTCAAAACAGGAGAAAGTGCCTTCAGAAGGCTGGCAGATGCCGGCCGTGATTACAACCGCTGCCCGTGGAGTACCCATGACTGCACAAAGCCTGGGTGATCCTACTGTAGTGCATGTGGGAGAAAGATGGTGAGCCTAGGCTCTAGGCCAAGCCTACCGTAAACTGCCATAACCTGCTTTTTGCTGGTACTTTTCATCAACCCCAACATACAAACCTTGAAACTTTTAAAGGGATCCCACACAAGAAGTAGGTTTCGGTAGGCCCAGCCTCAACCTTAAAAGGTCGCAAAGCGCTTGTCACCTTTGCTCAGACGCCCTTCAGCGTCTCCAGGTGAGGGCAGGTGTACCCGCCTGCACTCTTCGCCTGGGTTGTGGGGGACAGGTGAGCAGGTTTTGGGGGGTTTAGTGTTTAAAGGCTTAGGGTTTCGGGCTTAAAAGTTGAGGGTTTAGGGCTTCGGGTTTTGTGTGTTGGGGCACACTGCGTTTTGGCATATGCTACAGCATCGTAATGCAGGGGCTGAGACTCCCCGATACTAGGGCTTCGAGGCCTCTCGGCCTTCGGCTCAAAGTCTGGAAGGTTGAAGGTTCAGAGCCTTAAAAGGTTCAGAACTGCGGAGGTTGAAGGGGCTCTAGGCTTTTAGGGTTTGGGGTTGAGGGGTTGAGGGGTTGAGGGTTTAGGGCTGAAGCTTCAAGAATCCCTCGACGGACCCTGGCACGAAGTATCCTAAGTCACGGGATGCTCAATACGTATCCGACAACCCCTTCGACCTCGCTCGCTGCCACCCTTAGAAAGCCCCTGTAAACCCGGGAGAATACCTTGCAATTTTTTACCAACATGCTCAACAAAGACAGAATCCGGGATCCTGCATTTCGGAACAAACTAGAAACTTCGTGAACCGAACGACGACATCGTGTATGAACGGCCACACCCAAACCCCAACATTCCCAAACCCTAAACCCAAAAGCCAGGAATCCAACAGATACTAATGAATCCGCTAGGGTTTAGGGCTTAGGGTTTAGGGTCTACATCCTAAACCTTAGTTCAATGTCTCGCGGAGAAGCACCTTCATTGAATTCAAGTGCGGGCAGCCCTGCGCTGCACCTCGGCACTGCGCCATGGTAGGGTTGCCGTTGTCAAACATCAGCCTTCCCTGTGAAAGAACGTTATGTTCAGCAACGCCTTGAATTTACAGCACAACACGAACGACAGTAACACTTCCACAAAAGCTCCCAGTTGTCAGTCATCAGTAATGGCGACTCCTGGCGAATACACTTCTGTCTGTGTAGGGCCTTTCTACCAGGATTCATACAAGACCCTGTCTATCGGAGGGGGCGCGGGTCTCTTAGTCAGGGGGTCAAGTTTATGTGGGTAGCTCTGTGAACTAGGGTCCGTTTGCGCCCTTCCGGGATTGTGCCATCTCTCCTTGACGGGGGGCTTCTGGGATGAAGAGTCGAGGCAGGAAATCCGGCTTGGGGTTTAGGGTTTAGAGTTTAGGGTTTGGGGCTCAAGGTTTAGGGTTTAGGGTTTGGGGTTTAGAGTTTAGGGTTGGGGGTCTAGGATTCCGAAGTACCCACCTGCACGATCAACAAAAATCGATCTCAGCGACCATAGTCAAGCCACTCCTCGAGAAAACTCTGGGAAAACCTCTGGAACCGCTACCACATCCGCCAAAACCCCGAAACTCTGAGTTCCTCTGTGAACACACCCGGCGATCCTCACAAATACCCCCACAAACCCTAAACCCCAAATCCTAAACCCAAACCCTAAACCCTAAGCCCTAAACCCCACCTGCGCCCAGCAAGTCTTGCCCCTGTGCCAGCGCCGTCGCTGGCTTCAAACCCTTCATGACCTCCAGGAAAGAGTCCGCCTGACAGGGTTTGTAAGGGGTTTCTAAGAAATTTTTAGGGTTGATAAGGGTTTAGAAGGGTTGATAAGGGTTTATATGGGCTTATATGGGCTTTTTTAAGGCTTGATAAGGGTTTGTATTGGTTGTAGCTCTTGGGTGGGCTTTTTGGGTTGTTGTGGATTGCGAAACCCGAAAATTTCGGAGTTCCGGAACAGAGGGACTCCTAAACCCTAAAACCCTAAAACCCTAAACCCTAAACGAGGGTTTTGTAAGGGCTACTATCAGGGCTCCAGCGGGGTTACTCTATCAGGTTCTTGCTTTTTAGGCTTGGTTTTGGGGGGCTTTAGGGTTTGCGGAGGGCTGAGGATTTAGGACTTAAGGTTTTGGGGGCCTAGCACTTCTGGGTTTAGCGTTTCGGGAAACCTCCGAGCCTTGTAGTAGACCTCCACGTCCACCAGTCGAAGCTGATCGTCCACCTCTGCTACTGCAAAGCCATACATCTCCACGAGCTCGCCGGAGCCCTGGTGGCCTTCATAGCTGCCGGTGAAATGGCCCCAGTGCCGCCAGGAGAAGGCGGCGGAGAGAAGCACTCCAGCACCTCCCGGGAACCGCATTCGAGATCATGGTCATCATGATCCTAGTCAGCGTTGGCAAAGCATCGACAACGTGGTCCTCACCACCATCATCGCCATCATCGTAGGCAGCTGCTATGGCAATATAAGGGCTTGAAGAAGTACAAATGTTCCCTTGTAGCCGCTCTAAAGCTACGTTCTATTTGTTAAGGCATGAATTGAGATAGAACCACCTCCCAGGGGAAGGCGGCGAAGGCATGGTGGAAGGTCTCATGCGACTCCTCCCAAGTGCAGCTGGTGTCGTAGAGCGCAGAAGAGCATCCCTGCAGCAGCACGTTGTAGTTCCCGACCTGCGATCACCATGGCATCTTCCGACGGTCAATGCACTATGCACCCGATCATAGCTCAGCGAAGATGAACCTCAAAAGCTCCTCCCCTAAACCCTAAACCCCTAAATCCTAGACCCCTAAACCCCAAGCCCTAAACCCTAAACCCCTAAATCCTAAACCCTAAACCCCTAAATTCTAGACTCCTAAACCCCAAGCCCTAAGCCTCTAAACTCTGACAGGGCTGCCTTGTTGGCCTCCACGTTGTTGAACTTCGTCCCCCCGTTGGCACTGATCGTGAACCTCTCAGTGGTTTAGGGTTTCGGGTTCAGGATTTAGTTCGGGGCTTAGGGTTTAGGGGCTTAGGGCTCAGGTCGTAGGTTGTTTGGGTTCCTTTTTGGGTTCTAGAATAGTTCTATAAGCGTTTAGGGTTCAGGGTTTACTTGGAGGTTCATCGGCAGTTATAAGTAGGGGTCATAATAACTAGGGTAACTAGAGTTTACACCCCATAGGGGACTTATGGCCCATTTCTAATGAACCATGAACCTCCTATAACCCTAAACCCTAAAACCTAAACCCGTAAAGATCAACCCTAAACCCTAAACCCTAAAACCTAAACCCGTAAGGATCCACTATAGCAGCCCTATTCTCCCTTTGAAGGAACGGAGTGTTCAGAGCTGAGGGTTTAGGTCTTCCGCACGGAAACCCCTAGAAGCCTAAAGTGTAGGGCAGGGTTTAGGACATCGGTTCGTGGGCTCGGGGTGAAAAACCCTAAACCCTAAACCCCTAAACCCTACATCCCAAAACACCCCAAAACCTCAAAAACATCCCTAAACCCCCATAAAATGGAAAGGACGCCTCTCCGGATCCACGGATCGGTGGGCTCCGGGATCCAGCCTGGAAGTTCACCAGAAAGCTCTGGGATTTGGGTTTGAACTACTAAACCAAGGGTTTAGGAGTTTGAAGTTTTTTTATAAAAACAAACTTTCGCGGAGCAGGGGTTGAGGGCTCAAGGGTATAAACTCCTATGTCATAGTGGTTCCTTAAACCCAAAGCCCTTTAAGGAGCTGGTCTCGGAAAATGCATAGTTTCTGAAAGGAGCCCTTATGACACGGCTCCTTAACGAAAGAGTTCGGCGTGGTTCCTACTATGCTTCCGTGAACCCGAAACCCTACAAGGAACAGGTCCCAAAAACAAACGCATGAAGAATGATACTCCCAAACGCCAAACCCGAAACCCCAAACCCTAAACCCTCAAGCAAATGATAAAAGAAGGCATGTGTTGAGCGGTTTGGGTGGCAGAGCCATAAGCATTTGGTGGCGTAGAAAAGCATTTTCTCCCTGTATGAAAGGCCCAGACAGCTGAAAGCTTTTCAAAGCCATTGGAAAGGCGTGGCATTTCTTGAAGAAGAACCATCTGGCAAGCACTTCAGGTGGACGGGGTTTTCAATGGTTACAAAGAGCAGGAAGACTTTATCTCGTAGCATTAAATGAAAAAGAATCACCGGGCAAGCGCTTGCAGGAGGAGGGGGTCTTCAAGGAAGTTCGTTCTCCCTGTCTGAAGGGCCCAGGGCAGGGCAGTGGCGATTGCGCAGGGGGGCAGGGCAGGAGCAGGGCACGGCAGAGGGCAGGGCAGGGCAGGGCAGGGTCAAGAGGGCAAAAAAAGCAGCCAAAACCTGCCAAAACTGCGCCTAAACCCCAAACCCCAAACCCTAACCCCTAAACCCAAGGAGCTTGTGGGAGCGCTCCATCTCCCAGGTCTTCACCTCGCCCGGTTGTTTTTTTTCGGGTGCTCTCTCTTTCCGGAAAGGAAGACTTAACAGGGTTTTTAGGGGTTAGGGGTTCAGGGTTTAGGGTTCAGGGTTTAGGGCTTAGGATAGGATCCCCCCCGTTACTTTTAGAAAAGGAAGACGCGTCGTACATTATTAGGGCCAGAAAATACAGGAAGAAAGTATGGCCTGAGGCTTCGGGGTCTGAGGTTTGTGGTCCCGGGTACTGTCGAGAAGTTGCAGTCAGATGCCGTTAGACTCTACACAGGGATTAGGGCGTAGGGTTTGGGCTTAGGGTTTAGGGTACAGGGATTCGGGCGTAGGGTTAGGGTTTAGGGTTTATGGTTTAGGGCTTCGGCGGTAACTATAGGATCTAGGTACATAGGTAACTATAGGATCTAGGTACATATTAGGACTTCGAGTTCAATGTTGGCATTGACACTGAGAAAGCCGCTGACACTGGTCTTCAGAGGCAAGGGGTGATGAGGCTTTGGCGATGCCGTCTTCACGCAGCAGAGCTTAGAGTTCAACATGTTCAGTGCAAGCCGGGCCCCAAACCTCAAATCCCACAACCCCACACCCCTAAACCCAAGACCAAAATCGCACAACCCTCAGCCCCAAACCCAAAACTTCATGACAAACCGTGTAGAAGCCGATCCACAATCTACAACCCCTAACCCCAACGGGCCCGAATTACTAGCCGTAAGTTCCCCCCTAATATCCTTCCCATAAGCACAAGGCGCCCTACACAAGGGGGCCCGAATAGAGCTCCAGTGCCCAAAAAAGCAAACCCCCAACCCC